ATCGAGATCGGGGGGAGAGGGGGGCGGGGGGAAGGTGACATGGAGACGTGGACGAGGGAGGTTCGGTGGGTGAATATGGGGCTTGTGGACACATACCTCACATCCACCCCTCCCTCTTCGCGTCTCGGTCTCCCGCTTCTGCCTCCTGCCTCCTACTCTGCCGAGGGCAGGGCCGCGGTGGGTCCCCTTGTTTTTTTTATGGGAACAAGGCTCTAATCTATTCGTGGGGAGCAGCATGTGCTGGGAATCGGGCCCAGCGTCCCATACGGAAATTTTTACATAGAAGTTTTGAAGATTTAGGATATTTGAGATACCGGGGCCATTACCCGGCTTTGGATAAGAAAAAATTGAACTACTTAGCAAATTACTACGGCGAACTTCAGGAATGAGCGAAGTTCAGAAAACGACTCAGAAACCCCCCATCAATCTTCTTTACCTCACTCCGGCAACGGCGGCAAGACCTACTGCAGCAGAGCGACCATCTCCGCTGCTGTTGTACCCTATTTCCGTCCTACAAGCTAGCCCCCTCACTAGTAGGACGTTTGATATCCAACCATCTACTTCTCCGTGCAGAGGGCCTTTTTCTTTTTAGAAGAGCATTCAGATCGAGAAATACCTGCTTTAGAGCCTTTCAGTAGCCCACCCCTACCTGCCTAATCCCTATATCCCGATGCTTAGTCTCTACTAGGCCTCACGCCCCCAACTGCTAGGTTACAGAGTGGCACGACCCAGCCCAGAAGACTCCCTATATCCCGATGCTTAGTCTCTACTAGGCGTCACTCCCCAAACTGCTAGGTTACAGAGTGGCACGACCCACCCCAGAAGACTCCCACCTGCTAGGCTACAGGGCGAAACGACCCACCCCGGCTCCAACCAGCATCGTCTAAGTACCAGCTTAGCAAAGGACACTAGAGTGCCTTCCACCCTCGACAACTACCCAGATCTCTCTACCAGGTTTTTTGCCCTCGTATAGCTCGAGTTACAGGGCAGCGTGACCAAGCCCCAGCACCGACCAGCGTCGTTCCAGCGTCATTCTGGCCTCGTCCATTTGAAAGCCCACGGCCGCCGCTGTACCCTATTTCCACCCTGCGGCTACGAAACACCGCGGACGCATCCGCGGGGTCGAGCTCGGAGAGTGGCCGTGATCACGGTCGCGGCGGCTCCGGGCGTGGTTGGTTGTGGCCGCGACTTTCAGGAATTTTTTTGGTCTTCAAAAATTTCTCAAAAAAAAAACAAAACATATGGGGTTGTAGATCTTTTTGAGGTCTAAATTGCTCAATTTTCTATTTTATTTTTTGACTTCGTCTTCGAATTTTAAAATTAAAAGAATAATTTTCCTGAGCCAAAAGCTTTTTTTTTTTTTTTTTTTTTTTTTTT